GGCTGAGCCCCTCTCGCCCATGGGCAGGGAAGACGGGTGCGTTTCGTGGGGTCGCTGGTCGGCTTTCCTGCAGGGAGCGGGTGGCCCGTCAGGCAGAAGCCGCTGTGATGTGGGCAGGTCTCTGGATGGCTGGAAGGTGGCAGGAATTCGGTCCACCGCGTCCCCCGCCCGTCCCCGGTCCCCCGCCCAACTTGTTCTTGGGAGAGGTTGCCTGGCCAGCCTGGGGAGGGGGCTTAGTCTTGATCGTGAACTGAAAGCAAACCGCCCCTGTGTCCGTGGTCCCTGCTGTCCGCCTCCTTTTGTGTCAGCGCTGTTTGGGCAGCGCCGTGGCTGTCATTGGGTCGGCTGGGAATAGGTGTTCCTGGAATGAATGGCTGAGCCCCCCCCCGCTGCCCCACCCTGGGCAGGTAAACTGGGTCCTGCTTTGCCAGCTCCCTCTTTGGCACTTGTCCTTAGCTGCTGAAGATGGATGGTTTTCCTGGAGACACTTTCCCACATGTGGGGTTCCCTCCCCTTCTCCCACCCCTCCTGGCAGCCTATCTGTGATGATCCATTTCCCGCCCAAAAGTTTCTCCTGCACAGAAAACATCCGGCAGCTCTCATTGGTCTCCTCCTAGGTGCCCAGGGTGCTGTGGCCTCCAGTGAGCACCTGCGTGGGGGAGAAGGGAGGGCCGGGCGCCGCAGGAAGAGGAGAAGGGTGCTGGGTGCCGGTACTGCCCCCCTCAGGAGCCGTGCCTCTGGCCACACCAGGTCCCAGGAACTGCCCAGTTGGGGCAGCAGCCTTCCTTGTGGTCGTCCCCAGCCTCTTCCCGGCCAGACCCTGGGAGTGAACCATAGAAACTGACCCTCTGATGACCGGCTGCTCCACCTGTGCACCCTGTCTGATTTTAATCTCTTTTATAGAAAACTAGGAAGAAGTGCCAAAAGCAGGGAAAAAAAACCACCCAATTCCCACAGTAATGCTGGCAATTGGACATATTTCCTCCCTGCTGAAACCCTGCAANCCATCCAATTCCCACAGTAATGCTGGCAATTGGACATATTTCCTCCCTGCTGAAACCCTGCAATCTATAAAATGCTGCCTCCTGCTTCCCCCCGCCCCCCTCGATTTTGTTTGGACGGTTCCCCATGTCATGACTGCAGTCCTCCCCAAGTATTCATAATTTGCTTGACAATTCCCCATTGTTGGACACTTAGGTGTTTACAAGTTTTTACCCTTAGAAATAATGCATTGGTGAGCATCTTTTGTACATAAGGATTTGTCCACCATTGGGATCATTTCCTTTGGAAAATTCCTAGAAATCACTGTCTTTGCTCTAAGTTGGAGTCATGTCTAAAGTCCGAGGAAGGCCACTCTAGGTGGACAGTTCTGAGGTGGCCTTTCTGGACCCGGGACCACTTGTCCATCAGATAAGCCTCGTCTGGGAATGAGAGTACTGGGGCTTTTTGGTTTTGTGTTTCCTGCAACAAAGAGTTGGTCAGTGTTGGTATGAGATTGGTAAAATTTGCCAATTTTGTTAGCAATATGATAGGTTAAAATTTTCTAGGCAGCTGGATTAAAAATGCTATCACTTTTTTAAAAAATTAACTTTGATTTTGATATAAATCTAGACTTACAGGGAAGTTGCACTAGCAGGGCATGGATCTCCCCTACACCCTTCACCCAGCTGCCTGAAATGCTAACATTTTACCTATTCGCAGCCTGCTGCCCAAACCCAGGGGATTAACGCTGATTGCTAACCAATCTCCAGGCCTTGCTCAGTTTTCTCCGCTTGTCCCACTGACGTTTGCTTGTGATTCAGGATCCTGAATTGCAGAAAAAGCTGTCTTGTGAAAAAGGGAGGGAGTTGAGAGGGGCTCAGCAGACCACACCTTTTTAAAAAAAACCTCTTTATTGAATAAAGCCTGACTGACACCAAAAGCTGGCCATGTTTAAGGTCTACAACTTGATGAGTTTGGTGGTAAGCACACACCGGGAAACCCTGCCCTCTATGTCATCAACATATCCATCGCCTCCAAAAGTTCCTCCCGCCCACTTTATTATTATTTTCATGTGTGTGATAAGAACACTTAATAAGAGATCTACCCTCTTAGCAAATGTTTAAGTGCACAATACAGTATTGTTAACTCCAGGCGCTGAGCTGTGCAGGAGAGTCTGGGATTTATTCTGGAGGTTTACAATTGAAAGTCTGCTCATGTTCCTCCCCAGGTAAGCTCGGCCCTCTTCCCTAGGTGTGGCCAGCAGGGCGGAGGAGACCCCCCAGGGCCCCGAGGGGAGAGGAGTGGAGCCCTGACCATGAGTGGGGGAAGCGTCTCCGTGTGTACCCCCTCCCTTCTCCCCACACGTCCACTGGGAATGAGTCGTTTAGTAAAAATCGGGTTATAACCTGCCCTGTCCCGACATGCCTCCGAGGGGTAGGTGGATGGGTGACATCTGGTGTGCGTGAGAGCAGCGAGGCGCCGAGCCCCGAGCCCGCCGCGGACAGGCCCTGCGTGCTGTGCCTGTGCGGGTGACTCACGCTGAGCAGCAGGTGTGTCTCGGGCTCAGTGTGCAAACCCAGCCAAGAGCATTTCCTGGTGACTCGGGCGGGTTTAAAGGAACACGGGTTTCTGCTCTCACCTCGGAATGGATTTAGGGTACTGTCAAGCGATCTCGAGCCAGGAAGGGGTCCCCATTCTTTTTGAGGGACTCATCTCACCAGAGTGGGGTGAGGAGAGCCAGCCTGAGGGGTTTGGGAAGCAGCTGATGGGGGTGGCGTCTGGCCTGGCCCAGTGTCTTTGCAGGAGAGGCTTGTGAGAAATCGGGGGGGCCCAGGAAAGAGGCTCTTGTCCTGTCCCCCCCGCACCAGAGACAACATCAGTCCCCGCCTTCCTCCACATACACCTGTGAGCTCCAGCATCCCGGTCCGCGCCAGCTTGGAGTGGTCGCGATGTTTGTCGGGCATGGGGAGGCCTTGAGGTTACTCGGATCTCAGCAGAACAGACTTCTGTTGTCCAGATGGAGTTTCTCGGTCACCGTGAGGGTCTGCTGGCCTAGGCTTGACTTTTCCTTTCCTCTTTGAAACGCTCCAGTCTTCCGATCATGGCTCGTAAACTGAAAGGTGGCCCCCGCTCCCTCTGCCCCCTCTCCCCTCCCGCTCCCGCCTGGCGCAGGCGGTTTCTGTACCCAGCCCGCTCCAGTGAGGATCATAACAGGAAGTCTCGGGGGGAGAGGGGCTGGGGATGTTGTGACTGAGAGGTGCTGGAGCAGTCTTCCGCCTACACCTGCCTTGTCCCTCTGGGGCCCTGCCTCTCAGGAGTTGCCGCTCTCCCCAGATCCACGGGGGCCCAGTTCAGACTGTGCAGGGAGCGCTCAGAGATCTGCATTTTAAACAAGATGCCCAGGCCACTCCAATACAGGTGGACACTTTAAGACACGGGGAATTAACCGGCTTCTGGGCCACCTAAAGCCCACATCGAACCTTTTCCTGCTGAAGCTTGCCCAGCCACAAAGCTTCTCTTTTCTCCTCCTGCAGGAAGCCTTCCCGTCTTACCTCCACCTGGCCTGGGTCCCCACACGCACGTATTTGGTGTATTGGTAAAGGTTTTGACGTAGAAGCCTTGAAATCAGGTGCCCTTTGTACTCGGTTAAGACAGGAATGGCTGCATTGGGGCAAAAGATAAAATACCTGAGGAATAAATGATATCTGCAATCTCTCCCCTTGGAGGTGGGGCGGGGGTTGTGAGTTCCCCGGGAGCTTGGAAAATGCCCTTTCATAGATAGCTTCCTGATACATGTGTCCCTGTGCCCATGGAGGCCGTCGCTACTTCTGGCCTACGTCGTCCTAGGCGATGTCCACTGTCACCACGGGCTGGCGCGGGTCCTCCCCACCGGGTTAGCACCCTCTCCTGCACATGCCCGATGCACCCAGCTCGCTGTACACGAGGGTGTGACGGGTCCTGGGTGCATCCCCTCCCTCTGAACTGTGCCGTTGGCCAAAGACGCTCTGTCCAACATCGCTCGGGTTCCCTTGCTCTGCAGACTAGGTTTGTGCTCAGGAAGATGTCGGCACCAAACCAATGCTGGTTGATCACAGGACCCGAGAAAGGCCCGAGGAAGCGTGCAGCCCAGAGGAATGCTGACGCGGCCAGTTTCTGGCAAAGGATCCCTTCCCTGCTGTGAATCATCACCTCCTCCTGAATGTGGTCTGTCGCTGCAGGTTTTCACACAGACGTCTTGAAACAGGGGCCTTTGTCGTTGGTTAAGACGG